GTGAGAGTATATGTGTGTGTGTGCACGTGTGTGTGTGAGTGTGTGTGTGTGTGTGTGAGCAGAAGAAAGACACTCGTACAAGTTTGGAATGACATGATGGAGAGTAAATGATGACTTTTTATTTTTGGGTGAACTGTCAGCCTACTAAATACTGCTTACTGTAGTAATATACAATACCTTCCCATAGAACGATTATTATAACTACCGCACATCGTTTGACAGACGCAACAGAATGCAGTGGTCTGATGACGGAGACGTCCAGCGTGAGAGATGATGGATGTTGAGTAGAAATATAAGGACACTTATCACTATATTGAGTCTAGAGCACGATCACAACACCGCTTAGCAACAGTTTGGCTAGTTAAGGCTTAACTGATATATATATATAGATATATTTCAGATTAATATGCTGCAGAAATCGTACAGTGTGCTTGAGCGCGTCCGTCCCAGGATCCCTGTGTTTGGGCTGTGAGCGTCTCTCTCGTATTGCTTGTCTTACCGTGTGCAAGAGTCATGAGTGTGCTACATGATAAACCTGACGTCGTTCTTCGCGCCGCTGCAGTAGAGGCTCAGAGTGTCGGGCAGGAGGCGGAGCTTCATTGTGCCGTCTGCGCCGCAGGAGAAGACGTGATTGGCCGGGCCGGTCTCGATCTGCATGACGCCCGTGCCCAGGTTACGGAAGAGCGACTGGCGAGCGTGTTCATTACTGAAGGTGTGCAGGAGGCTCTGGGTGGACATGCTCCACACCTGACACACACACACACACAAAACAGTCATGTGACTCCTGACAGAACTATATCAACACATGTGCTTATTCCCTGTGATCAACTAAAGTGCTGGACAAGATTTCGTGCATGTCATTTAGTGTTGCATGAAGGTCTGTTTTAAGGACCATTAAGATTTGGTTGCATTGTGGCATTCTTTTCTTAATTTTTTTATTATGCAAGTAAAAATGTGACAATGTTTACATGTGACAAATATATAGAATCACTTGGACAAACTGTGTGTGTGTGTGTGTGTGTGTGTGTGTGAGAGAGAGTGTGAGTAATGTTTTTTTCCAACACACTCACATACATAAACGTATTAACCTTTTTTTTTTTAGTATTATAAGAAAAACAATGAGTTTTTGTATTATAGCAATAGGAATTTTTAGAGGTGTTGAATTTTTATGAAAAATGCAAAAAAATAGTAATGTCCCAAAAACAGGCTGCATTTAAATACAAACTCTTTTTTAATTTCAGATTAGTGAAAACATGTTAATCATCTCCTTTCATCCAGCAACTTTTATTCCTAACTAGTTATTCCCAAAGAAACCAACTGTGTGTCATCGTTCTTAACTAAGACTGAAACTACTAAAAGCTGTTTTCCGTAATTGAAATAAAGCTAAAGTAAAATGATATAGATCAATATTATATGGAAATTTTAAACCTAAAAGTGTTAAATTAGAAATGCTGCCTTGGCAATTAAATGAAATAGTACTAAAATTACTTCGTAATTTTTTACCAAAAAGTTGAAATGCTAAAATGACTAAAACTGACATAAACAGAAAGGCTAAATAAACAAAACACACAAAAAAAACTATGGGAAAAAAAAAAAAAAATCTAATTCCTAAAACTCATACTGAAAATATAAAGTTAAAAGCTATTTCAAAATCTGAGTAAGTCCTGTAACAGTATATAAAGACCTTGATGTTGCCCTCGGCCGATCCGCTGATGAAGCAGCTCTCGCTGGCGTCGATGGCCAGCGCTTTGACGGCCGAGTCGTGCGCCTGGAAACTCTGGCGCTGGATCTTCAGACTGAGGTCCAGAACACTGATGCAGCCCTTCCGGCCTCCGCTGAGCAGCAGCTGCTGTTTAGACGCCAGAGCTAGAACCGTGGAGCCGGACTCGTGACAGCTGAAGCCTGCAGCACACGACTCGTTTAGACACGCTTCTACAGGGGTGTGTGTGTGTGAGAGAGTGTGTGTGAGTGTGTGTGTGTGTGTGTGTGAGTGAGTGTGTGTGTGAGTGTGAGTGTGTGTGTGTATGTATGTGTGTGTGAGTGTGTGTGTGAGTGTGAGAGAGTGTGTGTGAGTGTGTGTGTGTGTGTGTGAGTGACTGTGTGAGTGAGTGTGTGAGTGAGTGTGTGAGTGAGTGTGTGTGT